AGAAGCCAGGGAGAGCAAGAAGCAGCCCTGAGCTGGTTGCGGGGACTCCATCAGGACGAGGTCCTGAGGTACGGCTGAAGATGACACAGGGCTATGGGGAAGTGGCCCAGGGAATTAGAGCAGCAGTCTGACTTAGATAAAGGGACACAGCCAATAGCTGCTATATACAGGGTCCCTGGGCTGAGACCTGGAGTAGTGGGCATCCCCCACAGCTCCCATTAGCCACTGGGGAAGTGGCCTGAACAGTGAGGCACCCCAGAGGGGAGAACTGAACTATAGTGGCCCAGCTGGAGAGCTGTAGCCAGGAAGCCCCAAGAGGGGGAAAGACATGGTCTTCGGGGGGAGCCCTGGGGCGCTGCTCTATCCCAGAGGAGGGACTGTCAGAGAGAGAGAGAGAGAGAGAGAGTGCGAGTGTGTGCAGGTCAAGGGGGTGCTCACAAGAAGTGAGTGCACCCCGTTACACACTGTCATCATAATATACCTACTTCTTCTGCCAGGCCAAAAACTGAACAAAGAACTAACTTTTGGACAACAGGTTTTCAGTGCTATGACCCTGAAGCCTGAAGCAGCTAGAAATCATAGATCATGCACAAGATCACTGAGAATTGTTCCCACAGCTAGTTTCATAAGTGGACAATTCTGCTAAAACCTAAGGCTCAAATTTCCTAAGCAAGTATTTGTTCTGATACTAAACATTATGTACTTTTCAACATATTCAAGTTGAACAAAGAAACTTTTATACTAAACAATCAATCATTTTACTCTTCTGCTTTGTCATTTTTTTTCCTTTGCCAGTAATTTGAGGTGATGTGGAGTGAAAGGATGGTTTGAGTTACAGTAAAGAAAAGGAAGGAAAGAACTGATAGGAAAGATAAGTGAGAAGAAGGGAGAGACTGAAGGGGGAACAGACACTGAAAGAAGAAAATGCAGAAAAAAAGATGAAGGAGAAAATGCCTTGTCCTTTTGCTATCTCCCCTCCACTTTGCCCTGGAGTCAGATTAAGATTAATTCTACCACTCGTGACAGTTTTAAATATCCGATGTTATACATCATGTCAAAAGGGCTAGAAATAGAAGCTTTTTAACACTGGAAAGGGGAGATTTCTAGCTTTCAAAGAGGATTCAATGTCCTCGCTCATTAGCCCTGGTATTGCCTACAACAGTGGTTTTCAAACTTTTTTTCTGGTGACCCAGTTGAAAAAATTGTTGATGCCAGTGACCCAATGGAGCTGGGGATGACGGGTTTGGAATGTGGGAGGGGCTCAGGGCTGGGGCAGGGGTACGGGAGGGCATCAGGGTTCTGGGTGCAGGCTCTAGGGTGGAGCAGAGGATGAGGCATTTGGGGTGCAGGAAGGGGCTCCGGGTTTGGGGGGCTCAGGGCTGTGGCAGGGGATTGGGGCACAGGGTTGGGGTGCGGGCTTACCTCAGGTGGCTCCCGGTGGCGGCACAGCAGGGGTGCAGAGGTAGGCTTCCTGCCTGTCCTGGCACCATGGACTGCGCTGTGCCCCAGAAACAGCCAGCAGTAGGTCCGGCTTGTAGGTGCAGGTGCATAAGTGTCTCCGCACGGTTCTCGCCTGCAGGCACTGCCTCCCAGTTCCCATTGGCTGGTTCCTAGCCAATGGGAGTGCGGAGCCAGTGCTCGGGGTGGGGGCAGCCCACGGAGTCCTGTGCCCCCCACACCTCACCTAGGAGTCGGATCTGCTGCTGGGTGCTTCCAGGGTGCAGCGTGGTGTCAGAACAGATAGGGACTAGCCTGCCTTAGCCGGGCAGCACCGCTGACGGGACTTTTGATGGACCGGTTGGCAGTGCTGACCAGAGCCGCCATAACCCAGTACCTTCCATTCCTACAATACTGGAACTTAAAATCAAAGTGACAATCATCCATGGAGAAAGCTATTTTTAGGCAATATTTCTCTCCCTTTATCTCATGGTAACCACAGGCCTCCAGCTTTACAGACCAATCAAGACAAAAATGGTTCTAATAATATTTTATAAATTACACTGCCTAGATTTTACAATTAATTCCTGATACTAGCAGAACTAAACTGTATAAAAATAATACATGATTCTATGCTTGCCTATGAAAAACTATTTCAATAATTATGGGTCTCTTTCTTTCGCTAATACTGATGACAGTTAAGAGTATGTACAAGAAGAGACTATATTCCAGAGCATGAAAAGGAGGTCTATAACAAAGTGCCATTGACTTCAACAAAATGGGAGCAGAGCTGGGTCCTTTACATACAAAGTGTCATAGGGTTGTTTCTCTGAATCACAGAGAAAAGAAAGAGACCTAACTAGTCAGTTTTGTTAACTACATGTATGTCTTTGAAGGGGAAAAAAAGTTGTGCATTTCCAGCATCTAATTCCTTCTAAATGTTTAAAGTACACGTCAAGTCTATTTTGATCATCATATAAGCTCTAAAGAATCGCTTGTACATTTTATAGACTACCAAGACATTTGCAAAAGGAGGCCACTTCTTTTGTATAACAGTTAATTGTGTTTCCACTTAGTATGAATTGTTTACTTTTATTACTTACCCATATCTTGAATATTACAGAAAGAAGCTATACAAGTCCGTTTGTCAAATGCCAAAAGTAAATTTCTACAATTAATCCATAAAAAGAGAATTAAGTTTCCCCACTTTAGAATTAGAAAAAACCTGCTGCTGATTAATTGAATGCATTAAGAAATTAACACACCAGTAAATGATTGATCATTACAATTATCTGAATTTGCATTGAATCCTAAGAAATGACTGAGAAATCCAATTCTTTGGTATTTTTAGTTAAATTATGCTATTCTGAAAAGATTAAGATCTTACTATAAAATTTAATCATTTGAAAAAAGAAAAGGAGTACTTGTAGCACCTTAAAGACTAATAAATTTATTTGAGCATAAGCTTTCGTGAGGGGAAACACCGAGGGGAAATATGATAACAGTTTTCAAGTACATAAAAAAGGTTGTTACAAGGAGGAGGAAGAAAAATTGTTCTCCTTAACCTCTGAGAATAGGCCAAGCAGGAATGGGCTTAAATTGCAGCAAGGACAGTTTAGGTTGGACATTAGGAAAAGCTTCTTGTCAGGGTGGTTATGCACTTGATTAAATTGCCCAGGGAGGTTGTGGAATCTCCATCATTGGAGAATTTTAAGAGCAGGTTAGACAAAAACGTGTCAGGGATGGTCTAGATAATACGTATTCCTGCCATGAGTGCAGGGGACTAGACTAGATGACTTCTTGAGGTCCCTTCTAGTCCTACAATTCTATGATTACAGTCTGTGCTTGCTGAGTCAGCTGCTGTATACGACTCAGCCTCTGTGCCTCAAAATCAATACAGCAGTGAATCTCGAACTAAGTAACCTCATCGTTGACTACTGCTTGCCAGAGTGATCTGTCTGTTGCTGACAACTCCCACCTGTCAATGTCAATGTTGCACTGTTTCACATTATGCTTCAGTGTGTTCTTCACAAATTTCTTGTGGCCACCTTGTATGCTGTTGCCCACTTTCAGTTCACCATACAGCAACTGCTTTGACATTCTGGTGTCACTCAGTCTCAACACATTACCAGCCCACCCTAACTGTGATGCAATAAGGATGGCATCAATCCCTACGGCAGTGGTACTCAATCTTTTGTATCTTTCACATAGCAAGCTTCTGAGTGTGACCCACCCCCCTTAAAAATTAAAAACACTTTTTTATACGTTTAACACCAAAATAAATGCTGGAGGCAAAGTAGGGCTTGGGTTGCAGGCTGACAGCTTGCGACCCCCCATGTAATAACCTCCTGACCCCCAGTTTGAGAACCCTGCCCTATGGTGTGACTGATACAGTCAATTATTGGTAACTTTTTATCCTTCCATTAGATACAGAACATAGCATGCAGATGTCATAAATGGAACTTATGTAGAAGCTTAATGTGATGCTTATAGCAGATTTAGCTCTCTCACCCATATAACAAGTTGGACAGCACAACTGCTTTATAGACTTTTAACTTGGTTTGAAGCTTAACACCATGTTGTTGCCAAACTCTGTCTGATATTACAGCAAATGATGAACTCATTTTGTTGACACCACTTGTGAGCTTCTTGTCTAAAGAAACATCATTGGACAAAATACTACCAAGATAAGTCTGTAGCAGCAGTTAGCTGTGTGTTTCTGATGGTGACTTTTGCTTTTGTGTAGGGTTTCCCTTGTGCAGGTTGATATATGACTGCTATCTTTTTCAGATTGTCAGCCTACACATTTCTGCAGACTCTGTGAATCTGTCTTTAATCAACTGTATATCTTCTAGAGCATGTTCCTCTAGAGCACCATCACTGGCCAACAGCAGTTCATGAAATTGCCTCAAAGACCATTGTGGAAGATGGCAGCCTGTTCACATAAAATAATTTTCCAGAGGATCGGAAACGTATCCAGATACCAGCATTCAGGTCTCTTGTAGCATCATCAAGCAATGCTGCATAGAAGAGTAAACAAGTGGACCAATTACGCAGCCCTGCTTAATGTCATTAGTAATAGGAAATTGGTCAGACAGAACACCATGTACGCAAACTCATTCAAGCATTCCACTGCGAAATAGCCTCAGAATGTTGGTGAATTTTTCTGGACAACCAAACTTACACAATAATTGCCAACGCCTGTTCTACTGAGCATGTCATATGCTTTAGCCAGGTCAATAAAGACAGTGTGTAAAGGTTGTGTTTCTATTGTCTGCATTTCTCCTGCATCTGATGGGCTACAAATATGATGTCTGCTGTTCCTTGTGTTAGCCTAAAACCGCATTATGACTCCAGTAGCATGTGATTAACAATGTTGCATACCAAACAATCAGAGAGTACTCTAGTCAGAACCCTTCTGGTGAGGGAAAGTAATGAAATACCGCCACAAGTACCATAGCCAGACAGTGACAATGGTGGTGTTTTTGAAGTCTTGTGATATGTCTTCAGTTCTCCATATACTGTACTAAAAATAGGCCATGCTGTTCCCTTAGCAGGATTTCACCTCCAAACTTGAACATTTCTGCAGGAATACCATCAGATCCAGAAACTCTGCAGTGCTTCCCGGCACTGATTCTCAGCGCTGACTTTGTCAAGGAGCAGGACTGCACTAATGCTGTAATTACGATGTTGGCTGATCCACTACTCTTATTAAGGCCTTGTCTGTGATGTTGGAAGTGTGTTCTAAAGGTAACTGAAATGCTCCAAAAGATTTCTCCTTTGTCAGTGATAAGTGTTAGGCTGTCCACACTCTTCAAAGGTACAGTAATGGTATGTATAAGACCATAAAAGTCTTTCAAAGCAGCCTAGAAGTCTTTGGTCACATGATGATCAGCATAGCCCTGGATTTCAACTGCCATAGTCCCATTGATACTGTATGTGTCTAAGCTTAGATTAGATGTCAAGACACAGATGCCTGTGTGTTACATCTGTGCCTACAGGGACATGGGGTACATCGTCGAATTCTTGTATCTCATGTTTTAAGGGCTGCATCCCTTTTTTATTTCATCATGACCTTTCAACAGCAGTACGTGCTTTTGAAAGAATGAGGTTTGATTACGTTTATTCCCTACAGCAAGACACTTCTACTGCAGATCGTTCAAAATGCAGCAACATGTTTTTTCACTAGCTTGAGCGATTGTGATCACATTATACCTAACTCGTCGTGATTAGATATACATCCTACAAGGTAGTGGAATGACCTTAGATTGGCCGTTCTTAGTTTTGTGAAGCTGTTTGTTTTATTCTGTTGTTGTGCAGCAACCTAAGAACTTCCGCAACTTTAATGCTTGAAAAATAAGTTATAAGAACTTCTTTATTATGAAATGTGCATGCCTGTATTTATTTGGCTTATTCAATAGCCATTGTTAGTTTTTCTCTTTGATATTCCCCTTGTATTAAGTGCATGAAGTTGATTTGCTTTAAAGGACTTTAGCAAGAAGTAATTGTTTTGTATGATTTGACTGTATTTTAATATTACATGAAACATAAATCAGCATGTAGATTATATTTTGTAAGAGTACCCCATCTTCATGGAATCCAGGAACTTGGCCCTGATGCTAGGATATGACAGAGATTCTCCTTTTCTTTCTATGCACCATTCCTTTATATAGTCTTTGGAGCACAAGGTGTTCTGCCCACATTTCCTCCCCTCCCCAGCTCACCCTCTAAGCTATGGAGGCTGTGAAGGTATGGCTGACTTCATGCCACCTAGGAACTCTCTCACACCGAGAGAGTTCACAGCTGGCTGTTTAAGTCAGCTTTCTGGCCCCATGGGAGTTGTTGGAACAGTATGAAGAAACTGGAGCAGGCCATAGGACCAGGTCCTTTTGATAAAGAGAACAATTCTACTAAAGCCATTTATCAAGGTCCACATTAAACCATTCAGCCAATAGCACATGTGGCTGGAGGTGTGGAGTTCTCAGTCTGCCCCAAGGAGAGCTCTGGGAAAGAATGTGCTTTAGGAGGCACAATAATTGCTCCCCAGCACATGGGGGAGTACAAATGCTGCATTATCCCAGTTTGCCAAGATAACTCTGTAGTCTGATATGCAAGTGATGGGTTAGGGGAGGTAGGCATCAGCAGCATGACCCTGCCTTCTCTTCACTCTCAAGGGTGCAAGTAGACAGCAATTTTTTTTTACTCCCTTGAGCTAAGGAATTGGGATTGTCCCTAGTTCCTGCATATATGTTGTCACTACTCTTTGCAATGGGTAGGGACAACATTATCTTATGTATCTTCTTTCACATAAAAAGGGAATTCTTCTCCACAGCTTTCCATGATCCACTAGCTACATTGTTCATATTACCATTTTAATTATTGCTTACATTGTGTACTGGTGACTTTCACAAAACTATTTATATTTTCACCTACTTTTTTTTCAGTCTCAAACTTTAAGTGAACTTTGATTTCATCTCCAGAGAGAACTTATGGAACCTGCCCTTTCTCTAAAGGATACAGGTATGAAAATCTTAAATAAAGCGGGAAATATTTAACAGCATGTTCTTAAAGACAAAGTTTAACTCAAGACATCTGACTAGCTAGCTGCTGTACACAAGTCATTTGGATACCGTAATGTAAAGAATGACACATACAGAGAATGTAGCCATACTCTAATGTAAGTGGCTCAGGTTTGCAGCTCACAACAATATATACCAATGTTATTTGACTCACTAATCTTACAACTGAGCAAATTCCTAACAGCATTAATTGATTGTAGCAGCCGTCTTTGCTATTCACCCCCATCACATCATTGAATTCCAGAAAAAAAGTCAATACTAAGGTGTTGAACAATTGGCATAAATTCTTCGGTCATACTCCTTCCATCCCTTTCTTTTGGTTTGCTAAGGTGCTTCCACTGACTTGCAAAGCATTTTTAATAAATCACACAGACAATGGGAAATGGATTTGCTGAGCTCCTGCAATTGAAACCAAAGTTTACAGGAGCGACAAAGAATGGAGCGTCTCTGAAAATCAGATCCTGGGATTTTAATTAATGTGTGTGATTTACTTCAAATAAATCTCCACTTTTAAGTTCTGAAGCATTTGAATCTTAATATGAAATGTAATCTCTAACTGACCTATGATATACCCACCATGCTGCAGAACTATATTTAATTCAGGTAATGTCTTTTTCTGGCAGAGCTGGTTCCTGATATTTCTGTATTTGGGGGGTACAAAATATATGATCAAGAAACAGGGACTCAGGGAGAAAGGTTATCTGGCTCCAACAGTGTCTGGTGAAACAAGAAGAAAAGCAAATTTGATTTTATTCCCAATTCCAGAAAATAAGACAGCTCTCTTCTTTTGTCAAAAGAACTGACAGAAAAGGCAATTAACAAGAATATATGTATAAGAAGTTGGCCTCAGGGACAATTGCATAGTTGTTTACTTCATTCTATGTCCTACATACTATATTCCAGTCATTTTTTTTCAATATTCTTCCTTGTCATTAGTTCAGACTTCTGCATCCATTTCTGATAGATCTTCCCAAAGCACTTAGAAGTGTCAGAGAGGCTGCGCCTCTCCTTGTTTAGTAATGGCATGTTATAGATTTTCTGAGATCATTGGCATACTCTGAAAAACAGAATTCTAAACCAAGATGTGTCACTTACTAGGGCGGCTGGAAAACCATCAGATCCTAAGATTGTTGAAGAGACTTTTGAAGTTGGTTGAGTGTTCCTGGAAGAACTGATGTATACTGAAATTGGTGACTGAGACTAGGTTACTCTGTCACTCTGTTTTTGACTGGTAAGCTTTCTGACATTTTTATTCTGCTAAAAATTAGTGCATCTGAGAAGAGAATGGAAATTAGATTTCCTTTTACATTAGCACACTGCAAACTGGGTTTATGTTATTCTTTATTTGGGAGGCAGAACATATGTTTTATGCCTTCTGTTTGATTTATTAGCATAGGATGGAAAATGCACTGTGATCAGTGATACTTTGTTAAATGACTTAAATGTGCTCATATGTCTTGTGGATTTTCCTGGGTTTTCTTCTCTCCCTTGTATACTCCCTTGTTTGATTAAAACAATACTTATAAAGGAGGGTATAGTATTTCTGATAAGTAACTGGCAATTTTAGTGAGTTTATAGGTATCATTAAAAGTGCAGCATGACAGAATTGCTGATAGATGTTTTATGAAACCCTTGTGGGATGCTGTGATCCTAGAAAGTAAGAACCAATTTCAGGCTCGGGGGAAAAGAAAGGTCTATTTATTCCTTATTTTCTTATTTTCATTCTGGTGAAGAAAAGCATTGCTAAAACATTTTTTAAAATCAAGACACAAAAAAACCTACAAGTTTCCCTACCACAATTTTTACACATAGAAGGAATGAAAACTGCACAATTATTAGCCAAATCTTGTCATGTCTATACTACAATCTTAAGTTGACACTAGCTTCCTTCTGTTGGTGGTACACATCCTCACCAGGAGCGCTTCCACCAACTGAAGAGGGGAAGCATGGGCAGCTGAGAGCCAGGACACTCAGTTCTGCACAGCTCCCCAACGGGAGCCCCGCTGTCCTCCGGGGCTTCTCACCTCCCTGTTCCCCACTGGGAGTGGGGGGCTTTTTTCTTCCCTGTTCCCCACCGGGAGTGGAGGCAGGCAGCCACCTGGGGCTTCTCGCCTCCCCATCCCCAACAGGAGCTGGGGGGAAGCTGTCCAGGAAGTTATCGCCTCCAGCAGGAAGATCCAAGCCCAGAGTCTGGTCATGCTAGTGGGGAGCGGAGAGCCTCGATGGCAGCCTAATCCAAGACCCTGGGTGGCAGCCCAGCTTGGAGACGAGACCCCACAACAGCCTGACTGGGGAGCCAGTAGTCAGCTTTCTTGTCCATTTCAAGGCTCCAGTGGACAAGAATGACAGCCAACAGCAGATGTAAGTAACACAATGTCTATACAGACAATGTCAACTAACTAACTGTCACCCTGGGGGAGATGGAGTTATTATGTTGGTGTAGTAGGGCAATTAGGGCTTGTATTCTCTATGAGCTAAATCGATTTAGCAAGTCTGGTGAAGACGTAATAAGTCCATGGGAGAATGCTCTCCTGTCGATTTCAGTACTCCATCTCAACGAGACATGGAAGCTGTGTTGATGGGAGAGCGTCTCCTGTCAGCCTAGCACAGTGCAGACACCGCTGTAAGTTGATCTAAGCTATGTCAAGTTAAGTTATGTAACTTATGTAACTTAATAAGCGTAACTTAGATCGACTTACCTTGTTAGTGTAGACAAGGCTGTAACGTAGACACTGACATAGTTAGGATGACATAAACTGCCTTATGTTGACCTAACTCTGTAGTGTAGACCAAGCCTAAGTGGTATCATCTGTCTTCTTCAGAGTCTGCAGATACTCCCCTCTATATGAAAACAGTGATCCAGAAACTCTCAGATAAGGGAGGGAGCTACTCATCACATTGAACTTCTGTTGGGGGAATCAAGTCCATCACAAACTAGAGCAGCGGCTCTCAACCTTTCCAGACTACTGTACCCCTTTCAGGAGTCCGATTTGTGTTGCATACCTCCAAGTTTCACCTCACTTAAACTACTTGCTTACAAAATCAGACATAAAAATACAAAATTGTCACAGCACACTATTACTGAACAGCTGCTCACTTTCTTATTTTTACCATATAATTATAAAATAAATCAATCGGAATATAAATATCGTACTTACATTTCAGTATATAGTAAAAAGAGCAGTAAAAACAAGTCATTGTCTATGAAATTTTAGTTTGTACTGACTTCACTAATGCTTTTTATGTAGCCTGTTGTAAAACTAGGCAAATATCTAAATGGGTTGATGTACCCACCGGAAGACCTCTGCATACCCCTGAGGGTACACGTACCCCTGGTTGAGAACCATTGCGCTAGATGGTAGGTAGGTGCAAGCAGGTAGCCAAAAGAAGTAAAGCTACTGTGCAGCAACACACTCCTTAAAAGAAATGATGTAGCAGGAAGCCTAGACTTTACAACTGTACTATTTTCTTCTTCTTCTTTGGTCTTCCATGCAAGTTTCTGTGGGACAGGATGATATAAGGCTCATGAATTAGGGCTGTAATCTTATATTTCAAGTAAGTGAGAATATATTCTAGTGTTACGTATGTGATGTATTTAGAGGAAAAGCTGACTAAAAATTAGCCTCTTTACTTTTACAGGTCCCTCAGAAGCACCATGAGAAATAAAGCATTCGAAACAAACAGTGCATACTATACATGGGCCAAATGCTCACTAGTAGAATACGGAGAAAATTTATTGACCTTAATGAACTCACTGTGGATTTATACCAGTATGAGAGCAGAATTTGGTCCATTGTGTAAGTCAAGCTAGTTCCAGTTTACAGATGACAAAAAGGCACAATGACATTTTCCTGACATGACGATTTCTTGCCAAGACTTGTCAGCATGCCTTATATTCATGTCTTTGCAGATAAATAAAACTATTTCTGACTGGTCACATGAAATCCAAGTTCCATATGTTTAAATCTTCATTCTTGGTACGTATAAATTTGAACTCAAAGCGTAACTGAAACTGCATTCTCCATAACTAGGTTTCCTCTCTAACCTCTATTGCATTGTAGAATTAGAACACTTCTAAATGAATATCAGTCATAAAACTGCTATAGTGAGACTCTGACAGAGCATCAGAAGCAGGCAGAAATTAGGGCTTAGAATAAAACTGGTCTGGAAACTAGAGGGTCAAAATCTAAAGTCCTTACTTTGGCAACACTTACTGAGGTCAATGGGGGTTTTGCTTGAATAAGAATTAGGCCTTTATTACACACATTTAGCCCAGTTCAGCTGTTCAAAAGGGAATTTATACAAGTTTCTTCATTTTATTTGCCCTGCTAGTGATCTCATACTCTAGTTTTTGTCCTACAAATAAGAAATCTTATGTGACCCTCTGGTTAGGAATAGACAATGCCAAATCTTTTGTGACACATTCTAAAACCTTTGTTTTCCAGTATGGCTAGCTATGCTAATTTTTTCACACAAATTTACCAGCAAATATATGCTGCTTTTTCTTCCTGCACTATGGAATAATATCAGTTTGCCTGGCCCATAATGAAGCTCAATATATTTCTCTTGCCAGAAAATATATAAAAGTTTGGCTAACTAGAAATTTATCCCCATATGTTCATCCTGTTAAGGATCAATAACATTCATCATTCCAGTGACTCAATCCCAGATGCTTGTCCTGTCTGGAATTCACTCCTCTAAACTAGTATTTTTCATAATAGTATACATCAGTCTAAAAGGAATACAGCTTCTTTCTTTGCATCTCCAAAAACTGTAGGACTAGAGTTTTCTCTTATTTACATTCATGTAAATAAAGAGTAACTCCTTGAAGAAAATGGTTTTTTGCTGCCATAAAAATGTTATAAGTGAAATGAGAATAAGATCCATAGACTATACATCCTGCAAGGAAAAATTTTTCCATGCCAGAATCATCAAGATGCATCCTACCAGGAATCATCAATACATCTAGTGTGTCCAGCCAATTCTGCCCCGTCTCTTTAACTTGGATCATTATCGCTTTATTCATGACTGTTGTGATGTGTCTTTTTCCTTATCTATTAAGACACATTACATGGGTGGAATTCACAGGCCTTCTGAATTTACCTCCACTTCAATCCACTAATCATCACTTTTTCAAGACTGCATTTTGCTTCAGTGCTGGCTAATGGTTGGAGCAGGAGACAAAGTCAAGAGACAAGAGCTTTACTTCTGGCTCTGCCATTAACTCACTAAGCGACCATGAATATATTACGTAACAGTCTCTTTGCCTCAGTTTCCTTATTTATAAAATAGAGATAATAATACTTATCCACTTTTGTAAAGTACATTGAGATCCTCAGAAAATAGTGCTATATATCAGTGCAGGATATTATTATCTTCTTCCCAGGTTTCCACTAATATAAGCTAACAACATTCACAATCCTCTTTTGACAGTAATTACCAAAAAAAAAATTACATTTCACAAATAAAAGCTGCAAAATTAAAGATATGCCTAATGCAGAATGTCAGCAAAATTTTGATAGGTTCCAAATTCCAAATACACTCTTAGGACTTTGGAGTAGGTCAGACTCATAACTCAAAAGAGGCCTGTTTTTTTTCTGTTCTTGTTTGAATGCAAGCAAAGAAAGCAGATATCCCTAAGAACACTAGATCTCACAGCACTTCTATCATTAAAGATATGGCCTTTTGAAAGCTTGTTAGATTTTAATCAACAGAAGCTTATCTAACCCAACTCTGGAGCCAGATGCAAACTCTGCCTCCTTAGCCTAACTTTTGTTCGTTGAACAAATTCTTTGCGCAGCCACTTACATATTTCAAATCTGTATGACAGCTGGCATGTCAAACATATGGGCTGAATTTATGGCAGAACAAATCAATATGATTTACGCCAGCACAAAGATATGGGGATGAATTCCTGGCATTGAAAACCCGTATACAGTGTAATTCTTGGCAGAACAAACCTATACAATTACTGACTAGGACAATTATGTTGCATTAAATTTCTCACAAGAGAAAACTTTATTATAGGATTTCCAGTAAGACAAGAAAATTTTATCTCCATCCAGACAACTCAATATACTAGCATATATTATCAGGTATACCAGAAGTATTAACAAGTATTACATAAGAACCAATATGCACTGAATAATAATATATTGACAGACTCCATTTCAGGAAAGCATCTCTATTTAGAATGTCAATTAAGCAAGTGCTAACAGGCCAACCTTAACAGTGATGTTGTAAAGCATGTGCTTGGGGTCTTATGGTAATTTGCAGCAGGACAAGACTGTATGAATTTCAAGGAGAAAAAATTAGGTGCTTATAAGACAAACAGGACAGACGCCAACGATATCTCGTAAGAAATGAACTGAACATTAATCTAGGCAAGAAAAACATAGAGAACACATTCTTAATAAGCCATAATGCCTCCATGAGTCTTCAAGAAATACATCAGTTTTTGCAAATAATAAACCTGATTCCTAACAGGCCAATCCTGAACATGTGCGAGCAGGACAATCTGCTGTGTGATGACTTGCTGCAGAAATGCATACAAACGTTACCATTTCTAGCAAGGAAATCATAAGGAGTTAATCCTACAAGATTATTGGTGGAATTTTCTTATAAGACACAATTCTCGGAGGAATAAACCTATATAACATTAGGGAGGATAAACTCAAATCATATCAAATGGGCTAATTTCTTAGTTAAGCAAACCCACTTAATTCTTGCAGGACAAGGTAATTCTTCGCAGGTCAAACATAGTTGGCTGAAATCTTGGCCAGAATAATTTGAATAGGTTCTGTATTCAAATATATAATAAATTATAGCCTTGTATTCCCCCAACACCACTGCTTTGTAGCTGTATGCACCATTTGTGTATATGTGCTGAAAAGATTTCTAGGATAGGAACAAGTTCTTCCCTGAGTTATATCTATGCTTAAAAAAAGAGAAAGAAAGAAAGAAAGAAAGAAAGAAAGAAAGAAAGAAAGAAAGAAAGAAAGAAAGAAAGAAAGAAAACAAACAGTTAATTGTTTGCTTTTGTCCTTACAACAAATTATTTCTCCTTCAGTTTGTAAACGACTTGGCTATTTGGAGGATTACACACATTTTGTTTAAGAGGATTGTTGCATTTGAATTTACCAGTAAGCTTTCCAAACACATGGACAGATAACCTACAGCCTCAAAGCTAATTTGGTACTGGAGCAAATCCATATGCATACGTAAGAGTTATAACTATTACCCAGTTAGTTCTGGTAAGAAGAGTAGCCACCACCTAACAACAACAACATTTATCAACAGTTGCCAAGTTGTGGTCTGAGACACAGCATAGTAAGTCCGTATTTTCAGAAGGTGATAGCTGAAAAATACTTAGGAAAATATAATTGCAGTAACTCAGATACTGTAGTATGGTAACAGGTGCCAAATGGTGACTTTTAAATGGCAATCACTGTCTGCCTTTGAAAGTAATAGGATTATAAGTTTACATGCTGACATACAAACGCCCTTGTAGGATACTTTTCATAATTATTGAAAATGAAAATCAGTTATGTACCTTGAGTGGATTTGTCATCAGCTTTTCTTTTTCTGCTATGGCTGTTATAGTTCAGTCTTAGTTCTTGGCTATATTCATTTAGAGTTTCTCTGGAGTCATAGGATTGTCTTGGTTTTCTCCCATCTTCACTCTCATCTGAAGAACTTGTATAAGCTAGATCCATTTCATGCTTAACTTTTGACAGTGGCTGGTAGGGTTTGCAGTCCATCTGCTCCATTCTGATTAAGTATGCTCAGAGTCATGAAAATAAGGAATAGGAACTCCCTAAAGAAATGGTCCTGGAAAAGACAAAATTCCATCTCAGATATTACAAATTATACATATTAGCGATTCAGGGCCAGATGTTACTCTCAGGCCAAAAGAAAATCAATTAAATTTATCTGGATTTACATAAATGTGATTGAGATAAGAATCTGGCCCACAAGTTTTCAAAATAGCTTTAAGACAAACCTAAACCAAATGACGTAAAGTATGTCAGAGTGCTAATGTTGTCTTGTACTTCATGCACGGAGTATCTTATAATACCATTTGGGTAGAAAACCTGAATTTCCAGTATGTTATTTGAAATTATTGGATATAATAATTGAATTTATTTCTCTAAAAATCTGTGTGTGTCCTCAAATATAACATTTTTTAACATTAAGATCAAGAAATCAAAGAGTTCTACTCCTCTGGCAGTATTTGGTTATATAAATTAAAATGTCCAGTCAACTAGTAAGACATTTGACCCACTATAAAACAATCAGGCATGTTTAAAATTAAAATGGATAGCTTATGACAGTCTCAGAATACTGTATCATAATTAATTCAGGAAAAAATGACATTTTCCTTTTAAATAATGCGAATTTTCAAAAAAACTATCTCTAGCTCAAAGCAACGTGAGTCCATACAGAATGAATGAAACCTTTAGAGAGACAGGCAACAGTCACTGTTAGCTCAAGCACTTCCAATACCATTAATGGCAATGAAGTTTCACCTGACAAACTGGTGAATTTGGCCTATAGTCTCATTTTCATGGAAGTTTTTACCTATTAATGTTAATGGAAATTATATGGTGAAACAATGGGAACTGTGGAACATCCTTTACCACTGCATTCATACAGCAGCAACAGTTAGTTCCAAGACCAGATCCCAGACCAATAATTTGTTCATTTAGAGACAAAACAATGTAAAACTTCAGAGGCTACAAGTCCACTCGATCCTACATCTTGTTCAGCCAATCACTAAGACAAACAAGTTTGTTTATGTTTTTGGGAGATACTGCTGCCTGCTTCTTATTTTTAATGTGAGAAAGTGAGAACAGGTGTTTGCATGGCACTTTTGTAGCTG